ACTCGAAACGTTAACTCTGTTTTCTCCTCCACAGATGCTGCCAGACCTGCTGAGCTTTTCCAGCAACTTTGTTTTTGTTCTTGAATAGTTCACTTCTCAGGAGGAGGGAAGGATAAATTAAAATGAAGATAAATAAAACGCTTTAGAAGATACAAAGATACAATCTGTTTGGTGGTGGTTGTTGCACTGAGAGAGGAATAACATTGTACAATGGAGCCAGATATTAAATAATTAAAGTTAGACTGAGTGTGACTCCTGTCTCCTCAGTGGAAAAACTGGGTGTATTTGTTCTGGAATACTCAGGCTTTTTAAAAAAAGTTTCATTTATACAAATACAATACAGGCCTGTTTCTAACAGGAATATGATTCATAAAATGGGCTTGTAGCAACTCTGATGTGGTACATTGTCACTATTATTCATCTCCTTTTTAATCCCCACTCTTGATACACAATGTTGCTGTGCCTTATCCCAATGCATTTAATGATGTTGAAGTCACATGCAACATTAGTAGGAATTACAGGACTTCATTATACAATATAACATCATTTGTTTCAGAGTTTAGTTTTATTTTTCCATGTCTCCACCCACCTTATCTGCTCTCCATTAACTAAGTATTGTTTTGTTAACTAAGAGAATGGAAAGAAGCAGACATACTAGACTGACCTTATTTGATGGCAGAGCAGGCTTGAGCAGTCAAACGGTCTACTTCTGCTCCTAATTCATATGTTTCTATGAGACCCCGACCTCCCAGATCTCATCTGAATGCCTCTGTTCCCGCAGCTCGCCAGGTGATTCTTTGAGACTCTCAGTGCTTGGCTTTTCTTCTCTTTGTATATGTGGACAATATGATGCCATGATTCCCCATTCCTGTGTTTTAGTTTATGTTTTAAAAACCTCCAGCAAGCCCATTCAAACAGCAAGCAAAGAGTTCCCCATTTCTAAAGAAGGGTCCAGACCCGAAATGTCAGCTTTCCTGCTCCTGTGATGCTGCTTGGCCTGTTGTGTTCATCCAGCTCTACACCTTGTTATGGCAGATTCTCCAGCATCAGCAGTTACTACTATCTCTGGTTGGGTTACAACATTGGTTTGAGGTGGGCAGAGGTGTGGGACAGATTTGTGGAAAATGTTGGCTGCCTATGGAGAGGTGATTGGTCCTCAGTGTTTGGTGCTTTCTGTCTTTGAATGGGGAGATGGTAGCCCACTAATAATGTCACTGAACTGGTAATCCAGAGCCCCAGACTCATGTTCTGGGGACACGGGTTTAAAGCCCACCATGGACCTGGTAGAATTTAAATTTAATCCATAAAATCTGGAATATAAACATTGACACAATAAGGATGACCCATTGATCCATCATCAATTGTTGTGAAAACCCATCTCGTTCACTGATGTCTTTTAGAGAAGGAAACCTACTTGAGCCTTATCCAGCCAGGCCTACCTGTGACTCCAGACCCAAGGTAATGTGACCAACTCTTAACTGTGTTCTAAAATGGCCTAGCAGACCACTCAGTTCAAGAACAATTAGGACTGGTAACAAACGGTAGCCTTGCCAGTGACACCCCACATCCCATGTAAGAGTAAAGCAATATGGTGAACCGCAGCCATTGACTCCATATCTCATTGTTTCGTGGTTCAAAGCTGGCTGTATTTGGCCAAGTGCCTGTCAGTCTTAAGGCTACATATTTTGTTTAAATTAAAGAAGGTTTGTTTTAATTTGTAAATAAATGTCATTGATTCACCTTATAGGTGGTTGTGCGTGAACTTTTAGCTCAATATGCAAGACAGTATGAAGAGAAGCCTGTGATTGGACTGCTAAGAAACTGGACCGGTGCTGTGGCTGACAGTTTAAGAACCAGGTAAACATTGTATAGCTAATGGATAAGGAAGGAAAAACCATTTTTTTTTGACTGGCCGGGGCTATGTCCTTGGTATATCATTAGAGACTATTAAACTTGCTCCCAAAACTCTTCCAGTCTCAAACTAATGCAATCAATCCAGTTTTGGATCCCACCACTTACTCTGTGGGTGGGCTGAGAGGTTTATCCATATTTCTGTCTGAACTACATGAGCAGCATTGACATATAAACCAGACTGATGGTTTGGACAAAAGTGTAACAAACTGTGGTTGCTGGAAATCTGAAACAGAAACAGAATCTCAGATCTACAGGATGGAGTCAAAACAGCATATCACCTCAAACAATATCGTGTGTAATGTTTTTGAAAAGAAAATGAGCAACAAGAGGCTATAGAGGTGTCCAGTTTAATTATGAAAACCGATTGTTAATCTTCTTTAATTAAATATACTATACACGAGAGTTAATGATTGGAACATATTGATATTAAGGCATAAAAATTTTTTAAAGTGGAATATTGTATTATTATATTATTTGTGAAGAAATAGGAATTAATTATGATAAAAATGTGCATCCAGGGCGCCTCATTTACTGTTATGTTACAATCAAATGACAACAATGAGTTAGTCCACTGCCCACACAGAGTGCAGCAAGAGATATAGACCCGACCTGCCAGAGTTTTGGGTCTAGGAGTGTGATTATTCTGAATTTCTGAGAGCTGGACAACTTGGCTCCAAACCTCTCTTGAAAGTATGGAAACTTCTCTGGAGTGTAGTTGTACTGAATCTTAAGTGGAAATTTTGTTGCAGATAGCCAGCACAGATCTGACAGGCCAAATGGCCTCCTTCAGTGCTCAAATCCATTCTATAATTCCACTCTGTATGTGAATCATGAAAAGAGATTCAGCCACCCAACCAGAAGGGGCATTTCACCTCCACTCCCTACCCTCCCCGCAAGATTAGTACTGCCAACCCACCCTAGGTGCCCTAGTATCTCCAGGAATAAAGATTGATCATTGTGGTGTAAAGTGGGGAGAAAATCAAAGCCCTTTTTAAAAAAAAGTACAAGAGATCCCATTAATGGTTGACTGGCTGTGAAGTGTTGTCATGTGGGTAACAAACAGCATGTTCCAGTGGCGCACCACAGGAATGGATGTGGCATCAGTCGGGGGTGGGGTAGGTGGAATAAGGCTCTGCCTTTGGAGGCAGAAGGTCACGAACTGAAACCTGTTCGAATATGTAGAACCAGAACTGGAAACCCCAGCGTCGGCCCAGTTATCTGATGTGTACACACTCAGACTTTTAGCAGAAAAGCAGTCAGGAGCAGGAACCCTAACTGATGTTCCCCTTCCTTAATCCGGGATATAGGGTTCAAGGTTTTTGAGACGGTTTGTAGCTCGGGTTATGGATGAGGTTGTAGACCTGCTCACCGAGCCGGTGTGTTTGATTGCAGATGTTTCATCACCCTGCTAGGTAACATCATCAGTGCGCCTCCGGTGAAGTGTTGGTGTTCTGTCCCGCTTGTTATTTATATGCCTCGGTTTGCTGGGGTGGTTGGCATCACTTCCGGTTCTGTTTCTCAGTGGTTTGTATATCGGGTCCAGTTCAATATGTTTGTTGATGGAGTTCCAGTTGGAATACCAGGCCTCCAGGAATTCTCTGGCACGTCTCTGTTTTTTGCTTGGCTTGAGCTTGTACAGAGTTCAGCTGCAATGCTCTTATCACCCCCTCAGCCAAGAATAGACAAATTTTCACAGACCATTGTGAAGCCTGTAATCTTTCCGCCAACACCACCGCTCCCCCCCCCCCCCACCCCCCACCCACCCAACAAAACGAGCAGAAAAGCTGGAAATTCTAGCTGTATCTGCAGAATGGGAAACAGTCAACATTGGAGGTGTCAATGAGACTTTCTCAGAATGGGGAGACACGAAATTGAGGATAGAGAGCATGCACATGATAGCTTTGAGCATTGATGGGCATATTGAGATTTGTGGTTCGAGGATTGCTGACTGTCTTGGAGACATTTGTAACAGGGGGCAGATTCAAAACATGAACAGTGAAGGTTTAGTTGGAATCCACATGAAATAATCTGAACTGGAGCAAAAGATTTGTCAGTGAGAGCGATACTTGACAAAACACAAGGGGGGAAACTGAAAACAATCGGAGAATTGTGTCCAGTTCTGGTTGCTCTGTTATAGGAAGGATATTATTGAGCTAAAAAGCATTCAGAAGAGATTTATCAGGATGTTGGAGGGTATGGAAGGGTTGAGTTGTAAAGAAAGGCTGGACAGGCTGAAAGTTTTTTTCACTGGAGCATAGGAGTTTGAGAGGAGACGTCATTACAGGTTTATAAAATCATGAGGGGTATAGATTGAATTAATGGTAAGAGTCTTTTTCCCAGGACGGGGGATTTCAAGACTAAAGGGCATATTTTTAAGATGAGAGGTAAGAGATTTAAAAAAGACGTGAGGGACAAATTTTTTACACAGAGGGTGGTTGGTGTGTAGAATGAACTTCCAGAGTAATTGGTGGACATGGGTACAGTTACAACGTTTAAATGACATTCGATAAGTACATGAATAAGAAAGGTTTGGAGGGATATGGGCCAGGTGCAGGCAGGTGGGTCTAGTTTAGTTTGGAATTATGGTTGCACCGAAGGGTCTGTCTCCGTGCTGTATGGCTATATGAACATGGTGCAAGAAGCAAATAGAAATTCATTTGGAAAGAAAACAGATGTTCCAAGCAGCCATTTCTGTATAATTGTGGCATTTCCTGTTCTTAGTTAAATTTCCTTGATCTTGTTGTACTTTTTGCTTTTCTGCTCTGTTTTGAGCTTGGTTCATTTACCTTGCTTAATTGGCTGTAAGACATCTCAAGGAGGTGGAGTTGGGGGAGCAGTGTTCCTGAGGTAACGAAATATACAATTGCAAATCTTTCTTTCTTTAAATGTCTTGCAAATACTGTCTTATCAGTGATCTTATTAACCCCCTCAATCCCCGCTAACTTGTTCTAGCCAGCCTCTGACTCCCAAGGTTAGTAAGGCGATTGGTTAGTTCTGTTGGCTGGAGGGTTTTCAATGCAGTGTGATGCCAATAGTGTGGGTTCAATTCCTGCACTAGCTGAGGTTACCATGAAGGTCCCACTTTCTCAACCTCACCCCTTGCCTGAGGCATGGTGACCCTCAGGTTAAACCATCACCAATAAGTCTCTTTCTAATGATAGATTGGGCCTATGGTAATTTCTACTTTTTTCAGTAAGGGATAATAAAATCAATCAAGGTTTCCACTGCTGACAGATTTTTTTCAAAAGTATACTTTATCATGAAAATTTGTATCCAAAAACGGGTACAAAAACATTTTGACTTGAATATTACACGATTTGTAAGAAAATTCAATATATCCATGGACACGTTCTTCTGCACACCATTGTAACAGTCCTCATATTAATAATATACATTCTACATTAGTTATACTGTCTAAAGGCAAAACATTTCAAATTGGAAATTACACCAAATGCTGTAGAGATAATGTATTTCCCTGTACCTGACTACACCCAACTGGGCAGCCTGTGTCTGTGGACAATGGGCTGGACCTGACTTGGTTGAGTTCCTTGCCCTGTTTGATAAGCATAGAGAAATCCACTGCATAGCAATCATGGAGTCCTGCACTCTCATCAGAAATGGGAATTGTAAATTTCTTGAACCATCGGAAAAATAAGTGACAATTTAAGCAGCTGTTTCCGTACACAATTCAACAACCGCATCCCCCCTTCCACCATCACACCCTTGCAACCTCCCCCCCCCCCCCAGAACCCTTCACCCTTCCTCAAGTCTCTGGTATGAAATACGGGAATGAGCACTAGTCCAAACTCAGCGTATTCATGAATCCCTTGCAAGTGAGACAAATATACAGCAATGGGAAATTAGGAAAGAAGTTGAAGCTGTACCTCATTTCGGAGGTGTTTGTCAGTCTGTACAGTCAGGAGTGGGAGACAAAACACTGTTCCCAGAAGTGAAACAAACTTTGTTAAGGCTTCTTAAAACGTGTTTTTCTGGAACTTAATCCTCTGTCTGTTATTAGGTTGTTTTCAGATGTGTGTTTATAGACACAGTCAGTATTCATAGATCCAAGTAGCAAGACATATGGATAATGACAGGAGTAAAACCAATGTCCTGGAACATTTGGGCTTTCCGGTAATATCACCACAAAAAAGATGAAAGGTTCAAAATTATCTTTGAAGCCAGTGGTGACAAACAGATCTTGGAAGGAGCACTTCATTACATAGGTCTCTATTTACACTAACAAACATTAAATGGGTTCTGACTTTGTGCTGGATGGGAAATCATTTAACAATGAACGTGCACAACTATGAAGAAACATACTCCTCAATTCTCCCTTGATCTACTTCTGTGTGGGTTTGTGTTGTGCCCCTGCTACCAAGCATTTTAAATTGTGCATCTAATTTCAACCCATTACACTGTTACAGTGTTGCAGCAATATCTTCCACAATTTTCAATGGTACACTGAGTTTCTGCTTGGCTCAATAGTTTCTGTTGCTACGCCACGGGAAGAAGTGCACAGATTCCACATCTGACAGAACTATACAGCACCAGACGGGGTCAGTAGCTCATTTAGCTGGATGCCTGGTTCACGATGCAGAGTGATACCAACAGCATGGGTTCAATTCTCAAGCCTGCTGAGATTACAACAAATGACTTGCCTTCTCAATATCCCCCCCTTGCCTAAAGTGTGGTGACCCTCAGGTTAAACCATCACCAATCATCTCTCTCTTTAATGAGAGAGCAGTCTTCAGTCCAGTTGAACAATAGTGACTTTACCTTTACAATCTTATAAAAGGCCTTAATAGGTTTGATTCAAAATGCTGGCTCTTTGAAAGAGCTATTGGATAGATTTAATTAGTCCTCCCTCGATTTTTTTTTTCTTTAAATGCCTATTCAGTTCCCTTTTAAAAACTCCTGTTGAATCTGCTCTTTCAGACAGTACATTCCAAATCATACCAGCTCACAATAAAAACACATTTTCCTCATCTCGACTCACACTTAAATGACAAAAACTAGGCCTCGATGACCTAATCATAAACCAAGTAGAGTTTGAACTTCAGAGGGCAGTGGACGTAGTGTCCAGGTCTCCAGATTGTCATATAAGGGTTAATTCAGCATTTCTAGATTTACAACAGGGAACCAACTGTGTCTGAGCTTAGAGTAAAATGCTGTAAAATCGTGCATTCTGCCACTGTTAGTCATTGTGACATCGTAACTGCATTTGACCATGTACTGCAACCAACACAGTAATCAGCAGAGGGATATGTGATGGTGATGTAACTGATGTAATTGTTTACAACATTGATTGCATTTCAAAGGTGCTTCTTACGTTAAGTACCATAAAGTATTTCTGGGGCATAACAGATATTGTAAACCTTACTTTCCTACACACTTAATTCTGATCTAGTCTTAAGACAATCAGTCATGGTGTGTGTGTGTGTGTGGACATACTGGGGAGCAGTGATGGTAGATTATTTAAGAGAGACTGGATAAATAGAAGAATTCTGAAATGGAGTAGTGAGTGGAATTGAATAAACTTTGAAACTGAGTAGACATACTGCAATGGCCTTTTTCTGTCCTGTTCATTAATATACTTCATTCTAAATGTAGTCTTGGTTGCCTGCACCTGACAGAACCTAAACTAATTTGTTGTTTACTTTTCTTTAAACAGTTGAAAAAGCTCTGATCGTCTGTTCATTAATTTCCCAATAGTATCCTAGCGTTTAGCACAGAGACGGTGGGTAGTCTGAGCTTCTTACTGAAAGCACTAAATTACCGAGAGAGAATCCTTCAACGCAGTTTGGCAGCCAGACTCCACAGTAAGGTAAAGTCAGATCCCAGGTACTTCAATGAGATTATTGGTTGTGCTGATAGTTTTTTTGTTATTCTTCAGACTCACTTGCTAATGTCAGTCACTGAGGAAACTATAAACAAACAGCCAAGAAAATTGTTTAAAATTTATTTGCGAGACGGTCGTGCTTTTAAATAGATGATTGCGGTAATCTGCAGGAGAATCAATCCAGATTCTACTTATCTACTTTACTGTAACCAGTTTCAATGGGGATAGGAAGGGGCTTGAAAGCAGATTGTCCTTGTTCCTTCTTGGCCACTAAATGTTGCAGGGACTGGGTGAGAGGAGAGGACCTAGAGAGGGGAAGAGAAAAACAATTTGAAAAAAGCCCTGAACACAAAGATTATCTTGTCCTTGGTTTCATAACTAGACAAATAAAAAAAGTTGCACCCTTATGTAGAAACAAGGAGAAATCTGAAACAAAATACATATTTCTAGCAATTACATTTTTTAAAACCAACTAGCGGATGTCTCAAGATATTACTCACCTCGAGTCAAGAGATAAATTGTTTAAACCAACAGGGGTGTCATTAAGAAGGCATACCCAAAAATGTTTTACTGGAAATAAGTATGACAATTGTAAGTAAACACCATGCACAAAAATGTTAATACATAACAGATTTGTACATGATTGATTTTGCTAGAAGATAATGGGGGGAATTTTAACCACACAGGATGGGTAGGTGGGAGGGGGGAGGGGTGAGTGGGAAAGGAAAAAAGACATTTTAAACCCAAGTCCAACCCACCCAGTTCCGGTTCTGTTGGAGGTGGAATGGGGGCGGGTGACCAGTTTACTTCAGGAGTCAGGTTGGTCAGTAAAAGCTTTTCAGGACGTTGTGTGTCTTTGAAAGGATTTTTTTTTTATTTTCAATTTGTGGAATCTGGTGTCTCAGTGCTTAGAAACCTGGCAGGTAATAGAAGGAGGGAATCCATCAGTTAAATGGCATTTGCAGCACTGCTTGTGGTCCGAAGCAGGAATGTTCCCTTCACCAAGTACTATCTCTGACTCTCCTCTTATAATCTCTGGCTGTCCTCACGATCTGCAACAGCCCCTATAATTGTCTGACGCCACCCCCCCCCCACCGTGATCTCTGACATCACCCGTGACTCTCTACTTTCTCCTGCAACCTCTAACCGGCCTACACAATCTCCAGTAGCCTTGCATGTTCTGCAACTCCCCTACGTGATCTCCTGACTGCCCCCCATGACCTCTGACTTGCACCACAATTTCCAACTCCCCACCCTATAATCATTGATTCCCTGCATGATCTCTGACTCCTTTCATAATCCATGATTCCCCAACCCTGTGATTTCTGATTCCCTGTGATTTTCAATTCTTCCAGTGACCTCTGCACCCCATCCTCAGCAATCTCTGACTCCCACCAGTCATAATCTCCCAAATCCCCACTCCTGTGGTTTCTGAGGCTGCCACTCCCATAATCCCTAAATTTGCAGGCCGCCAGGACCTCTACTCAGGGAGATAGAATGTAAGGGCCAATCTCACTGAAGGTGGTAGATCATCTAACACCTTGCTTCAAAATCTGTTCCTTTTCTTAGGTAACGAAAAGAAAGGAAGAGCCTTTCAGTGCCTGGAACTCATGCCTCCACCATGTCACTTACCTTGCACTGGCTCACATTCATCGAGGTCAGTAACAATATCTGTTCATTTGATATTTTAATTTTGACATATTTACAGTACCAACAACACTGTGGCAACTCTAACAAAGAAGCAACTTTCTGGCACGCATCAGTGGATCTCCATCACCAGCTGGCCAGAGATGTGCGAGACCAGCACTGATCGTTAATTTCTTTAGTCTCCAGTTTTCCCCTCTCCATTCCCGAAGACATCACCAGCTTGCTGAAGTCCAGATTCAGAACTACTTCATGTATCTCTAACAAATTGTATGAACTTTGATAATGAATTAACATATCAAACCATGGAGGGCATCAACATTGAGGCCAGTCCAATCTCTACAGTCAAACCCTGTCCAGTCCCTACAGGCAAACCTAGTCTAGTTTCTACAGTCTAGTTCAGTCTAGTCTACAATCAAACCCAGTCTAGTCTCTACAGTTTACCCCAGTCCAATCTCTACAGCCAAACCCAGACCACTCTCTATAGTCAATCCTAGTCCAGTCCATACAGTCAAACCCAATCCAATCCCTACAGTTTAACCCATCCAATCTCTACAGTGAAACCCAATCCAGTCTCTACAATCACACTTAGTCCAGGTCCCACTGTCAAACCAAGTCTAGTCTCTACAGCCAAGCCCAATGCAGACCCCACAATCAAACACGATCCAGTTCCCACAGTCAAATCACAATCTAGTTTCTAAGTCAAAACTCAGTCCAGTGTCTACAGGAAAACCCAGTCCAATCTCTACAACAAAGTCCAATCTAGTCCTGCAGTCAAACAAAATCCAGACCCCACAGTCAAACACAGTCCAGTCCCACAGTCAAAATTAATCCTTTCTCCACAGTCAAACCCAGTCCAGTTCTGAAGATGAATCAGTAGACTCGAAAAATTAACTCTGTTTTCTCTCAATAGCTGCCGCCAGACCAGCTAGGTTTTATGAGTATACATGATTTTGTGTGTTTCTGGTCCCTACATTTGTTTTTCCAGCAAGAGTCACCATATATAACAGCTGTGCAAATTGTAGTTGATCTTTGATCTCCTAAACCCAGAGTACTGAGGCTACTTGTGGCACTTGATATTGCCCATGGGTACTTGGACCAGATATCAGAAAGTAACTGGTAATGGAGGCATAACTTCAGGAGAGGAGAGGAAGGTCAATAAGGAGAGTAGTTTGGATATTGTTTTAAATGGCTTGGCAAAGTTTCCGTGAAATAATTCTCATTTTCCAGTGCACCAATCATCTAACTTACTCATAATATCTGAAAAGTTATAAGTAAGGAACAATGTACTCCAGAAAATCTCAAGATTTGAACTGATTATAAAGAAAGTTCAGACTGATGTATCAGCATTTAACAGTTTGTTAATTAGTTTGAAAATTTGCTATTTATCTTCACCGAATTGGTGATTTTTGGCCTGCATTTTTTTTCAACCTTTCAGAAAGTGGTGACCTCCATGAGGTGGGGGTGGACAGTAACCCTTTTCTGTAATTATTTTACTTTACAAAAGCAAAATACTATGGATGCTAGAAATATGAAATTAAAAGGGAAATGCTGGAGAAACTTAGCAAGTCTAGCAGCGTCTGTGGAAAGAGAATTAGAGTTAATGTTTTGAGTCAGATGCGACTCTTCGTAACTGAAGAGAGAGGTGTCAAAATGATGAAGTTTATATGGTAGATAAAGGTAGCGATGCATAGTAAGTTAAACAAAAGAGAAGGTCACAGGAAGGTAAGAGGGTTAGGCAAATTAGAGAGAACAGTTGTTACAGAACTAAAGGCAAAGGGAGTGGTAATTGTTCGAGAGCAAAGAGCCAGGTCCAGAGTAGTTGTTAAAAGCAGTAAATGGGGAAAACTTTGCTTTTTATTGGCGGGGAATGGGAAGCAACAGTGAGGGAAACAAATTTGAAAAAATTTGTGGTCAAAGTTGTTCAACTCAATGTTGAGTCCAGAAGGCTGATTTCACTTGATTTACTGTAGTCACATGTACCTAATGTATAGTGAAAAGTTTTGTTTTGTGAGCAGTACAGGCAGATCATAGTAAACAAAGACATACAGATCATAGGGTGCTTAGACTGAGTGAGGCATACAAGGTTACGGCTGCACAGGAGGTGCATAAGGCAAGATCAACATTAACAAGATCAATACATTTTGGAGTTAAAGAGGTCCATTCAGCTATCTGATAACAGCAGGGAAGAAGCTGTTTTTGAACCTGTTAGTGCAAAACGGAAAGTGGGGCTGCTATCTCATGAGCTTGCATTGGGCTTTATTAGAACACTGCAACTGACTTGGGACAGATATGTAAATATGAGAGCAAGATGATGCATTGAAATGACAAGTAACCAAGTGAGCGGAGGTGTTCTGCAAAACAGTCACCCAGTATGCATTTGGCCTCCCCAGTATAGAGGAGACCAGATTGTGACAAGTGACTATAGTAGAGTAGATTGAAAGAATTATAAATAGATCGCTGCTTCACCTGTACAGCTTCTTCCCTCAAACCGTCTCCCCTTAGTCCTCACGTACCACCCCACCAATGTCCAAATACAATGCATCATCCTCCAACATTTCTGCCACCTACAATCAGACCCCACCACCAAAACAATATTCCCCTCCCCAACCCTGTCCGCTTACTGCAGGGACCGTTCATTCCACGACTCCCTCATCAGTTCCACACTCCCCACCAACCCCACCACCACAGCCGGTACCTTTCCCTGCAATCACAGGAGGTGCAATACCTGCCCTACACGTCCCTTCTCACCTCCATCCAAGGCCTCAAACAAACCTTCCAAATCCAGCAGAGATTCACCTGCACTTCATCTAACCTCATCTACGGTATCCGTTGCTCCCGATGTGGTCTCCTCTACATCGGGGAGACCAAACGCAGACTCGGGAACCGGTTCGCAGATCATCTGCGCTCTGCATGCACCAACCAACCTAACCTTCCAGTTGCCATCCACTTTAACTCCCCCTCCCACTCCCTGGTGACATGTCCATCTTTGGCCTCCTCCACTGTCAGAGTGAGGTCAAATGTAAAGTGGAGGAACAACACCTGATATTTCGCGCATTAAAGACTAGACCAGAAGAAGCTTCCCAAACAAAAATGTCATAACTAGGACCCATGTAAGTACCTGTGGCCACATTTTTTTTTCGCATGAAGTGAGACAAATTAATGGAGAAATTGTTTAGTGAGAGAACGAGTTCAACCAGACAAAGTTGGGTCGTGGTGGATGAGGACTGTTGAGGTCTTTTGTTCAAAGAAGAGGAGAACCCCCATGGCAGATAAAAGTATACAGAAATAGGGCATCCATAGTGAAGAGAGGGCAGTTATGGCCAGAAAAGTAGGAATTATTGAAATGCCATAGGGCAATTGTGAATTTAGGTGAGAAGAGACTGGTCAAGGGGAGAAAATATACAATCAACTTAGCAAGAAATAAGCTCAGTGGGGCAGGCACACTGGGCCAATTCAGTTTGCGTGTTTTGGGAGGAAGGTGGAAGTGGGTTGTACTGGGTTGGGAAATTATGAGGTGGATAGCTGTGGAGGAAAGATAGCCAGAGTAGATGAGGTCAGTGACAGACCTGGAAAGAATGGTTTAATGTTCAATGCTAGGGTCAACATGGTCCAGGGGGAGGTAGGGAGAAGTTACCAAGAGTTGACCTCAACCACTGCAAGATAGAGGTTGGTATAATGACAACACAGTACCACCCTAGCCAGCAGAAGGAGGGATGGGATCACAGTAAACAGGATGGTAGGAAGAATCTGGTGGGATATCAGTACCCTTAAGTTGTTTTGTTTATATTTTATGTCTCTGTAGGTCTAATGAGGCACTTTTCATCAAGGTTCCTGGTACTAAGACACCCTGGGCTAAGCAGATAAAATCAAAGTTTTTTGTTGTTTCTTTAATCATTTATGGGGAATTGTGGGATGCTATACAATTCCGATAAACCAGTACAATTGAAGTAAGTGTATAAATGTTTTGTAATGCTGGTTCATTGGATGGGATATTGTAGGAAATGCTAGAGAAGGAAGGACCAAGGTCTACCTAGTTTGGCTTGCACCATCCTCATCATGTATACTGCAACATTACTGGAGTTGTTGGTGAACCTTGACAATCCATCTCAATCAGTCTACATCCAGATCCAGGTGAATGGAAAATTTTGGAAACCACAGGTTCAAAATCTCCTCTTCTTCCCAAGCAACCACCAAAGTGGGACTCAATGGCCTTGATCTTTAGTTTAGGCATAATTAAGTTATTTAACAAATATATTTAAGATCCTTATATCTGACTGGCCTACCTGAAAGGAGGCCTATTAATGTCCTACGTGCTAACATTTACGTTCCCAATTTGGGTGGGAGAGAGTCAAGAAAATAAGACTATTTATTTCTGGATCTATTTTAGCAAATGTTGTCAGTTTATTTTATTACTTCATGCGGTCTCCAATTTACAAAAATCTGACTTACAAACACTTCTTTTTGTGAACAAGATCCCATACATGGATGTATTAATGTAAATTTGAAAGATCCAAAATGCAAGCATTTGCTCATTTTATGTGTCTATTTTATATTGTACTGTATTGAGTTATGACTTGTATACAGATTGACTTATTAATGTGCTCAAGAATGGAACCCATTCGTAAACTGGGGACTGCCTGTAAACAGTTTAACTGCATCATTCGTTCATTTGTTAATTTGCAACAATATCTCTTCAGTCAGTATGCAAGTATCTTTGTTTAAATTCCAAAACTTGAATTGTGCTGTGCTGCTTCAACTTATTAGCAAGCCGTTTTTGTGAAGTTACTTTTAATGTTAACAGTAGTTGAATGTCTTCATTAACCCCACAGGGAAAGGAATTTCACACAAACGTGTTAAGTGTTTTCATGCTTTTGTCACACAAAGTAACTTCAAACTTTAAGCATAAATGAAGGCACTTGGTGCTGAGTATTTTCCTCTTTTTTCTGACATTTCTAACAATTATTGTAAAATTTCATCTAACTCTATGTTTCTGTCTATATTAGATAATGC